TAACGAGAGTAATTATAATAAGAGAAGAGTCCATGAAATGATACAGATTAAAAAACATAACAATGCTATGAATTTCAGATCGGATACCGACAATCGTAGCTCAGTATATCATACATTAATTAAATGAAATAAACATAGAATATTAACTAACACCCGGTATATTGAAGAATTTTGCAAACCAAAAATAATAGTCTTAGAATGCAAAGAAAAATAGCTGAAAGTGAAAGAAATCAATATAAACAGTATTTCGCTTTGTGTGCAAAATGGACAAAATTAATACTCCAAATATATGCCAAGGCTTAAAGTAGCAACAACGCTACACATAAAAACTGATGATGGTGGAAAAATACACCGAAACGTATTTTAATTGATAAATAGAGACAATAAATGACTGAAACCCAGGAATTAATTTTGAGTTAGTATTAATAAATTATTTTCTAATCCTAAATATGGGTACTTGTTTCCTGCCAGGACAAGAGCCAAATATTTTCATATAGCGGAAAACGAAGTCATTGATTTGGCTCAATCGCTAGATGAACTTTCAAGACGGTCATAGCAAGTTTTCCTAAAAACCGGTATGGTTGTGATCTTCGTATTCTTAAGTCCAGTTATTATATCATTAATGATTGGCTTAAGTACGGCCTTATCAAAGATGCTGTATTCAGGTTTTTCTTGTAGATTTTTCTTCAAACAAGGTGGAACCAGCAGTTTGAGTTTTGTTACGAACTGGAAAAGGCCTGCAGAAGCAAAAGCTGGGTTTAAAAACACGATTTAGTACATTTAATCCATTTTTTTACACTTAGAACGCTTATTTATTTTGCTAATCATTTCCAATGTGATAAAGTTTCAATTGAAGACGAGACAAAATCATTGCCGAATACCACGAAGAGGTATGAAGTCACAAATAATCTAAAAATAAACCCTTTAACAGATCTCACACTTCTTTTGCAAGATTTTAGTTTAGAGTTCCATAAAATAAATAAACTATGCAATATTGCAATGACTGTACCATCTTCCAGTGCAAGTTTTGAAGGAACTTTCAGCACTTACTAACTTGGGCATTTTTTTTGTTGAAAAATATATTGCATAAAATAGATTTAGAGTTAATTATAGATTCCTTTGCTGCTAAGCATCATAATAGAAGAATGCCTCTTCTAATGTTCTCCGTGAATAACTATTTCATTATTGATTTATGTCACCTCCTTATAAAACTTTCATTCACTGTTTATAATGCTATTTTCGTTATTTTAAGTATTTTTAATCTACTTTCGCTTAAGCGGAACATAAAGCTGGCGCCGTCACTGTCCGTGTAGGTAAGACATACGCATCTTAAATCCACATTTTCATGTGATTCGATGCATGAAAATCCAATAATAATCCTCACCAATTTATAATGGGACTGATAAACCCTGATAAACGGAAAGAAATCATCGAAACCACCATAAAACTCTGTGTTTCTATGATAATCTCCCAGAACGCTCATCCATTCAGCTAGTGAAGACCGAACCAACCAGAATGCTGTGGCTTGTAATCATCAGCGTGTTATCCAGCGCTTTAAGTGAATACGGTAAGTGAAGATGAAGAAAGGCTCTTGGTATCCACCAAGTCTACATCAACGTGTATTTCAAATTGAAGCTGAAAATGTGGAAGAATCTGGCTCCGTTCTGAGGCATGTGGAGAGCAGGATTGTTGGAGGATGGACGGTCAACATCAGTGACCATCCTCATCAGGTGTCGCTTCAGAGCTGGCACAGGCACAGTTGTGGAGGTTCTTTAATCTCTCCTAATTGGATTCTCACTGCTGCCCATTGCCTATCCGGGTGAGTTGAAATCTCACTGGAAACTGTAGGTTCTTCCGTTACTAGTGTCCCAAGCAAGTTTTTACAGCCCTAAACGATTATCTTTATATGCTCTGATAAGTAAATAAGCGCGAACTCACGCTGATTATTGTGGTAAGTTGGAAATGTGAGATCTAAGATTGATTTCAGTGGCGTGCACAGATACAGCTTCCGATTGGGGAGCGCCTTGTGGGCGGAAGGTGGCACGTTGGTGCTGGCCACCCAAGTAATTCCTCACCCTTTGTATAACAGTTCAACTATCGACTACGACGTGGGCTTAATCAAGCTGGCCAACCATCAAGAAGAAGTCAACAACACCATCCAATATGCCACTCTACCTCCAGAGGATTGGACTCCAACTAATGGTAAAAATGCCCACTGAGTGTTTTGAGGAAAACTCCTAATCAACTCAATCCAGGATCGATTGCTTCGGTAACTGGTTGGGGCACCCCGTACTATGGAGGATCTTTGATGGACGAGCTTCAGCAGGTGAATGTGCCAATTGTCAGCAACGAAGAATGCGAAGAATACTACAGTAGGTTTCTTGAAGTCTTTCGAAATAAGCTTTACCTTGCAAGCTGATGGGGTTTTCTCGTTGAAGATGTAGGCCACTGCTGCTTGCAAAACGGAACAAGTTGATCAACTGCACAATTTGACACTTTTCTTCTCTGAAGCTTTATGGAGATTTTGCGCCACCTTACACGCTACCATCTTCTTTGAGTAAAGCACTAAGCTTGCCTATTTTTCCTAGCAAATGAATCACTTTTGAGCAGGCAAAAGACAAAGCAAATTCCCCTGTTCCAGAGAACGAGTCGATAGTGTATGGTGTTTATGTGACTGGGCGAATGTTGTGTGCAGGATTTCTGGATGGAAGTGCAGATGTGTGCAATGGAGACTCGGGCGGTCCTCTCATAGTCGATGGTTATTTAACCGGAGTGGTTTCTTGGTCGAAATTTGGAGGCTGCGCCTCCGAAGGATTTCCTGCGGTTTACACCAGCTTCCCCAGTTTACTGTCCTGGATAAAGGAGCAAACTGGCCTAAACTAGATGTGTACTACTTTAAAACTACATAAATAAATCTTGAAACTATTCGGAGTTTAACTGAGGAACTTTCCAGGTGCTCTGACTGCAGCGTATTCAATTTACATCACAGACAGAATGTTGTGTGCAGGATATCCAGCAGGAGGATACGACGCCTGCAATGGCGACTCCGGAGGTCCATTGATAGTCGATGGTTATTTAGCAGGAATCGTTTCCTGGGGTTATCAGTGTGCAGTTGCCAACTATCCAGGCGTGTATTCCAGTGTTCCCAGTCTCTTATCCTGGATCAAGGAAGAAACTGGACTTTAGCAGTTTTCAATTTATGTAATATGGATCAAACCTCACATTAAACAGATGCATTTTTACATTTTTCTATGGAAGCTACAATGGTGTACAGTAATGAAAGTTTTGGCCTGCTTTGCCTGCTCGCTATTCAATTTGATTTATTTGAGTAGCATTCAGGAATATTTCAGGAAAACTGTAGGCAAAAAACATTTTCGTTATGGATATTTTTGGGTCAAACCTGCAAGAACTAGTGTGTTTTGCGATTTCCTAAGAGCTCTAATGTTAAATAACAAAAACAAACGACTTATCGATGGCAAGTAACATTTCCTCCGGCCTTGCGGAACGATGGTTTCGCCATAAATATGATGTTCCTTTGGTTCGTATGGAATGAGATCCTGCTTATAGATATACCTGAGGCCATTGCGAAATGCCTGCAATGACCAGCACAGTGTTTTTCTTTTGCTTGGAAAATTAGGATGCAAATAGCAGTTTTTTCATAGTTTTACATGGTTTTACTGGCTTAGATTTCTCGGTTCAGCCTAAAGAAAAAACGCACAGATTCATACAGAAAAGCGCCTTAGAATCCATTCCCATCAACCATCAATGTAAAGCGCTAATTTGCCGTGTAAAAGTGGATTATTTAGAAAACAATTGCAAAATATTGCAATAGGAACAATGTCGTCCATTCATGGCGTATTCCGTTATTCGGCAATAAATTACCTTTAATTAGCAAGAAAGAGAATATTAAATAATTGCGCTAATTAGCTGGGTACATCCATTCCAAAAAATGCAATGTAACAATTACTAAAAACTTCATTAGTTTCATACAGTTGACCCAAATATCCCACATTTCCTGATTATCGGCATTGATATTTGCGGCGAGATCGCGCATTATTATTATTCCTGCGGGCAAATTCTGCAGATCGCAGACCTAAGAACGAAGCAGTGAAAGTGCCCCAGCAGGAGGAAGGTTAAATAGACATTTTTGCTATGAAGATGCGCCCGCAGGAACGGCTTGAATAAGAATCTTCAAAACTTAATCCGGGTAGAAAGTGATCAAAAGCAAATTTACATTCAATTGATGCAACAAGACGCAACAGGACAAGAAGCATGAAGAAATCGACGAGTTGATTAAACAAAAACACCATGAATCATAGAAATTTGATAAGTTTCTGATAGTAGGCTGAAAGCAACTTGAAGAAGGTTGTAAAAAAAACTTGAAAAAAGTAGTGGAAAACTCTCTAGTTTTCACGAAATCCGGTCCTGAATTGCCATTCAGAGATGTTGCTCTTTTACTCACACCAACGGCCTGAAATCGACATCATTGTCTGCAGAATGCGGAACCGCGTTTTATTGTAAGCGCTTGATATTGATTTTTTATTGCCGATTAGCTGACAAGTTATAGTCCGGAAGCATCCGCTATAGATCACTTTTCCGGACTAAAATATCCCCATCTTGTCCTTATTGCGTTCTCCCTAACATTTACTGTAATCTGTTCTAATGAACTTTAGTCGAATTTTTCGGTAGGAATCCTCAAATTGCTTCCTACCAACTTTCGCCAGCCAATAGGTGAAACTCCAGATCGGCAATAACAGCAGAATCGTGAGACCCAAACAGTCGCCTACATCCATTTCCTCTATTTGGTCCCAAACAAATCGAGCTTTTTATGAACGAGTGCACGAAGCGCTCTTCTTACGTAATCCGCCATTATCATAAGCACAGGTAAACGACCTCACCTTAACGACGTAAAAATCAGCGAAAAAAAATTGTCAAAATTCAAAGTATTGACACTGAAAGCCGATAAACAATACAAGGAAATAGAGCCTGAAAGTGCCGGATTTTAAATGAAAAAAATTCTAAAAACGCCAAACAATCTAGTTAGGTAACAGCGAGTGGAACTTTTGAAAATGACTTTGAAATGTGGCCTGTTTTAGGCGCGTTTGGTCCAGAAGCTCCCACGGATCGCATGGTGATCAGAAAGAGAAACCGTCGAACTTCATGTCTGAAGAACAACAACTAGCTGTTGAAATTAAGGCTCTGAAGGAACAAATTGAGAACCTCAAGGCGGCAATCAGCGCCCTTCAAGGGGATACGGAAAAAAAGGAGGTGAGTAAAGAAATCGGAAGAAATCAAGATTCAAAATCAGCCCAACATTATACAGTGTCCCGTTGAGCTCTTAATTGAAATTTTAACTTTTTATTGAAATATCGGTAGAATGAATGATTCGATGGATTTTAGTGCAACTTGCTGTGAAGAGCCAAACACTGTTTCTAAATAAAAGTTCGTTCAGATTGTCGTCTTTTGAGCGCAAGTATGTCCCAGTACCCTTTTGATCATGTGTACAGGTGGCCATAGCAAAAATCGCCAGAGAGAAAGAAAAAATCACAATGGAACTGCTGAAGCAGCAAAGATCCAACAAGAACCTGCTCCAGCAGCTGGAAGATGAGCGCAAATTTTACTACCAAGAGAAAGAAACTTATTGCCAGGAAATGAACCAATTCAAGAAGCTGAAACAGGCGCTGAGCGGCACTTCGATGGCGAGCAAAAGCGAGCCATCAGTGGAACAGTACAAGAAGGAGATGGCCAAAGTGAAGCACACCTTAAACCAGACCTTGGAGGCCAACTACAACTTAAGCATCAAGTTCTTGAGGATGAAGAACACGAAAACCTGCCTGAAGACTGAGCTGAAAACCATGCAACTGGAGCACGAAAAGGTACTATTGTTTCCTTTGAAGCTGCACTAAAGTTGTTGATTCTACAACAGTTGCTTAACGACTACAAGACGAAGATCCACAACCTTTCCCAAGAACTGGACGATCTCATCCAGGAAAGACTTTCCACGCCGATTTCCTGCAGCAGCAAAAAATACCTACACGTAATTGGACCTTCAATTAAATAACTCGATCAATCCAAAAAACACTTCCAGCTAGTTAAGCAAAACAGTTGCCTGGTGTATGAGAACCTCTGCCTCCAACTGGAAGTGGACAATTTGCACCTGAAGTTCGAAAAGCTCAGGCTGAACAAAACGCGAAGCGAAACCAACAACAGACTGAAGTATATCAAGCATGAAACATCCAGGAGCAAAAGCGCCAGCAAGCAGCAGAAGAAAGTGCGCATCAAAGAAGAACGTCCAGAAAAGCTGGAGCGGGACATTTCCAACCTTCCATCCACCAGCCATGCTCATGAACAAATCCAGAAAATCTTCGAGCGACACCAACTCCCAGGCATTCCAGATATCAAAATTATCGACTCAAAATCCCACATTTCAAGCGTTCAGCCGCAGAAAGTTGCCGGGTATCTTCAAAGGGATCTTAGGAAAACTTCCGAAAAGCCCAACTCCAGATTGGCACTGTTCCAAATCTCCAGCAGCTCTTCAAAGACGTCGACCAATCACACTTTGGTGCGGGTTCGGTCGTCTCCAGAAATCGCTCCCAATGGTTCAAAGTACAATATTCACTGATACGATTCTTTCATTCATTATAAGCATGTTAAGGATAAATAAATTAAGTTACAAAGTTCTGGTTTGGTTATTATTTTAGTGGGTGTTGAGAATAGAGGTTTTTGTTGGAGTACTGTAATGGTGCGTCTAAACCTTTGGTGACCTAAAAATTCCTTTGATATTTCGTGAAAACACCGACAGAAAATCGAAAGTTTATTGCTGAAGTTCCAATGCCAAAGAGGGATAATCTGGATCTTTCCAATCTTCAAAAGGTTTTTTTATTAGGAAAAACCCTTCACTCAGAATCCATCTCTGGATTCATTTCGTTCTCTTCACAACTTTTCAGGGCTTGTTCTCGTCCATTTTTAAATTGAGGCCGGAATATTTTCTTTTGCGAATCACGCAAACCGAGTGAATGTCGGCATCTAGTGTATGTTTCAACTATTTCTTCACTCAGGTGCTTACAACCTCGTTATGTTGGTACCTACTTCATTCTACTGGCCAGAGATGTCTAAGAACTTTTTCAAGTCTTCCAAAACGTTTGAAATTTATGGAAAATTATTTTGGAATCACGTAGTTGTAAAAAAAATTAGTCAATTATTGTCGTATCTTTTGAAATTTGAAAGAGAAAACCGAAAATTAAATATTTTCCTTGGATTTCTGATCTCAAAATTTGTCCTACTCTTAGCACTTGTATTTTCTGCATGGAAAATTATTTTGCAATCACGAGTTATAAAACCAAATTAGTCAATTATTGTCGGAACGTTGGTTGGAATGAGCAGCAACATCGGGAACTATTGAAAGGGAAAACCGAAAATTAAATATTTCCCATGGATTTTGCAACTGAAAATTCGTTCTACGCTTAAAATTTTCTACATGGGAAATCAATTTGGGAATCACATAGTTATAAAAACAAATTGGTCAATCATTGTCGGAGCGTTGGAAATAGTATTTCGGAGCTGCAAATTTGTCGGCCGTTTTGCAGCAGGAACATTGGGAAGTATTGAAAAGAAAAACCTAAAATATTTTCCGATGGATTTGGGAACTTGTTTTTAATGGTTTTTTTCAAGAAACTCACAAACAACAAGCTTTTTCGTACAATTTCGTACTCGTAGGTGACAAATTTGCCAAACAAAGTCAAGCACCATGGCCGGCACGAAGGCCGGATTTCAATCCTCAAGACTAGATTTTTGTGCTTGTAGATACCTTGAAGTATTTAGTGTATGAAGAAACGATATCGGACACAAACTATTAATGCAATTTTTGGGGAAAAAGATCTACTTTTTAAATTGGAAGATCGTTCAATAAACGTGTGATTGAATCTATTGAAGTTGTGGACGTTATTTTCAACAACTTTAGTCAAAAGCTCATCAGTTTTCTGGTCCTGATGCTAACCTTATTTATTGTTGTGTTTATTAACTTGGTATTTTCTATTAAATTATTATTATCCTCTATTCCATCCATAAATAGGCAGGTTTTTTCCATAAATTCAGCGCACCGAATACTTTAATTGCAAATATCTCGAAAACTCTTGATCTTAGGGATAAAATATTGAAATCCATTTATTCGGGGGGGGGATGAGCTCTTCGGTAGCAAACACAGAAAAAAATTAGAGCGATTTAAAAGCGAATTATTGGCTCTGAAAGTTTGTCTCCCACGAAAACCCCTGGATTCCAAATTTCAGTCAAAAACTCCAAGATATTCAGGAGTTGTTAAAAAAAATAACTTTTTGAAATTAAATCGCAACCGTATTATTTTCTCAGAAATCCGTCGGTCAATTTTTAACCATTTCCAATGCGACACCCTGTATATGAGACAATGCAAGCTGTTGAATAAACGATGGCTTTCTCCACTATAATCACACCTTATTAGGTGTTTCACGAATTTTTCTTCTAACCACCACTCAGCAGGCCGAAATGCGCTGTCTATAATTTGGTTCAGTGTTGGGAGTCAATTTGCATTTATAAAGTCCAAACGACGAAATGAATCAGAAGCGTTTCGGGATGGTTTTCTTGTTAACTTTCTCTTTAGCTTATGCTGTGGATAAGCTGCTTTTTCTGGAGGATTTTCTGGGGAAATTGCCCGGGAAGATGTTGGAGGCGCGTCTGTGTTGGAGTCGAGGTATGAGAGAGAACTTTGAGCTTAGAGCTGTGGACATAAAGGCTGTTTTTAGAGCAAAATGTCCGCTTGCTGAAACTGCTCAAGAAAAGCAACTTAATGTACGCAGTTACCAACGATATTTCCTTGAAATCTTCGAGATTTAAGAGAATGTTTCTCGTGGATATGGACTGTGGATTTTTCGATGCACTCATCCAAGACGTAAGTCCAGGATTCACTCAAAGTTGCGCTAAAAAACCAGATTTTCCCCAACAGGCTCTCCAAAGGAAACTCTTCAAATTCCCATGGCTAATTTTCGGCAACACCACAACTTTAAGGGCCAAACGCGTTTATTTCCCCATCAACAGCTACGTTCTGGTTATCAGCGAATCAACCGACAAAACCTT